ACCACCCTAATGTGTGCATTTGCGTTTGTGCTTGTGTTTGTCTTAAGATCTCTTTGGCCGTTCGTTTCTTCGGTTGGCGATCGTCGTTAACGAGTCCAACATGTACCAATGGAACATACAAACACAAAGATAACTGCGCATTGCCACAGAAATGTTAACTGGTGTCGTAATGATCGCAAGAAACTCTCTGTGTTTTTCCCACATCGATCGTCGCTGTGTTATTTCGACAGAGAGAATATGTATTGTAAAAAAAAAGCATACCTTCGAAGTGCGTACACATACCTGTACACGTTTCTTTTTTTCTCTACGGTTGTTTTTTCTTGTGCGATCCAATTCAAAAGCTGTCGCGTGTGTGTGTTGTGTAGTTGTACAGTGGTACTGTTAGCGCTGCTGTTGCTGTTGCTGTTGTTGTTGTTATGTGCGCTCAATTTGTTGGCCGAAGAGTGAATAAAATTTGTGTAATATGGCACGATCAGTTTATATATTGTTCCACCACAGACTAGAGGTAGGATTGGTTTGGTGTGTGATTTTTGCCGTTTTCACCAAAAAGAGAGAAGACACAGAAGCAATGGAAAAAAAATGAAAACAAACCCTACGAATGGGAAATTTTTTTTTTTCATGCTTTTGGGTTGGAATTGTGTTTTGATCGATTGTTGATTGAGTGGGTGCAATTGCTTCGAATGAACATATTTTTTTTTTAATTCTTGTTTCGTGTGTGCACAATATATAAGCCCGTTGCTGGATATGTGAAACTGAATTCGATTTATTGTGGTGCATTGAATGAAAGATGATCACTATAGTTGATACTATTTTAATTTACACCTTCAATGGGTTATTCCATTCGGAATTGTTTAGTGGTATTTGCAAAATCTTGGAAAAAAAATATGATGAACTTCATTTAGTGCAAAAGAATTTGTTTGAATTGAATGAGCAATCCTTAAGAAGAAAATAAACACAGTTACCATACTTTCACTTTTCCTGTAAACGAAACTTCACTCAAAACAGGGCATTTGAAGCAATGCAAATGAATGAAAAGAAACGAAAAATTTATGGACCAAAGCAAAAATAGCCAACAATTATCATAAAAACCTACGAAGTTTGGTGAATCATCAAAGAAAAAAAAAATTAAGAAAAAACAAAACCGTTTTAATGAATCTTCGAAATAAATGAACCAAAAATTGGGGCAAATAAATCCAAATAATGCCCGTTAAAAGTCAAATGTTGACACGTTGAAATATATTTTCCGTTAGCTTATTGAAGTAAGATAAATAAAACATTGCGAAACATCAGATTAAGATCACTTTCTATTTTATGAAATGTTCAAAGCAACGAAAAAAAAACATCCATTAAAAGTATCTTATACAAACGAACGATTGTGTGCTTAAGGTTATACCGTGTGTATGTATCGGTGTGTATTGCTCGCACGAATACGCGTTTCACTTCTTGTTCATTTATTTCAGTCCGTTCATTTTATATAATCAATAAAAAAAAATTGTGTATTTTTATTGCACGGAAATGTTTAGCATAAATCTGTACAGTGTACATAGTGAAGTTCGAAGGCGAGGAAATTTCCTGAAATTCAATCATTTCTATGCAATTCTCATTTTATCTTGAAAAAAAAAGTCAAGTCAAGTCATAAGAATTGACCTTTACGACGGACATTAATTGGTATTTAAACGAAGTGCTTTCGATTTCCATGAAAGAGATTGCTCCGTTCGAAGAGCGACAACGTCGTAGTCGTAGTCCTCGTCATCGTTTTCCATAGATTCGCGTGAATTTCAAGAGGTTCACATTCATTTTTGTATGTACGGTTGCTGTTTGCTGCTGCTACACGGCCGATCTTAGAAAGTTGAATTGAATGATCTGGAATTTTGACTTACAAGAAAGCCGTATGACTACTTTCTCTTTGGCTGCAGTTACTCGTCGTTGATACGGTCACTGTGCGCGCGTCGCTTCAGAATCAGCTTTGGGCCATCGTAGCACGAACAGCATGAAATTGAGAAGAAAGAGACACACGAATTCAACGCTTCCTATTCTATGCGAAATTCGTTATTTTCCCTTACAATCGCACACTTTAATTGCCATCTTTGCAATTTGCAAAGAAGAAAAACAGAAAGTAGCAAGATTTCGTGATGTAACGCTTTTAACTACTAAACGGATTGAAACCACGAACACAATTCACTCGGGATGTAAATGAAGATTTCAACTCAACAAAAGCCCTCACAATTTTTTCTTCGTACACCAATGAATGGTCTCATTTTCTTTTGGCCCGACCACAAAGCAAATGACAAAAGCAAACCATGAAAAATCAATTTGTTAGCGTAATGAGTATTCCGTTTTTGGCGCTATCACTTGTGATAGTCGATGTTTGTTGAATCTATTTCCATATCAATGTGTTTAAGGAGAAAACGATAGACTCTCACAGAAATGAAGCAATGAACCCAGCATTCGTCAATTTTAGTTTATTCGTTTGTTTGTTTGTTTGCTCTCACTGTTCGCTTCCTTTTCACTTTTCCATTGTTTGAAATATTTCCGCAATTGTTTCTCAAACGCATCAAAACCAAGTCGGCACTCCACTCGCTTCTTGTTTAGTTTTTATTCGTGTGTGTGTGTGTGTTTGTTTTTTATTTTGTCGGTAAATTCCCGATATTCAATGTGATCTTTCCATTTTACATTGCGCGTCGTTGCGTTGTTCAGCTTGGATAGTTATTTCATTCATCATCATTTAAGTGCGCTAACGAATTGCACACACGAGTACCTACTCACTGCGTGACATCATAAAAGTACCGATTTATCGAAATAGAGGCAAACAACAGTTGCGCATATTGCGGTTCTACAGAATGATTATGAATTACGTAGCCGAATGAATTTTGATGAACGACACAAAAATAACAATATGTGTACGGCACACACCGAATGCGTACACACATATGTTGTCGCGAATGAGACGAAACCGTTTCACAGTTTACTGGGTGATCAACAGTTAGATTCGGCGTTGCAGTATGCACGCTTCGCGAGGCCCTTCTTTTCCCACTTTGGATTTCACGTTTGCATTTAAGCATTTTGTTTCATTTAAATGCACTCTGCATCTAATTTGTCCAATTGAGCGTGCTCTTTGTGTGTGTGCGTGTGACTTTGCGTGTTTGTTTGTATGTGTGAGTGTTGTTGGGTTTAGATCAGTAGAATTCAACTAGTTTTCCACTTGAATATTTCGGCGTTTTCTCTTTTTTTATGAACTTGCACTCAATAGCTGAAGATTGACCTAAATTCGAAAGATGAATCACAACAGTTAAACGTGTTTCTAAATAGTAGTTTTTTTCTCAAATAACGTGAAGTCGGTGAAACTCTGCTTCTTTGATTGAAATATATTTCGAATTGGAAGAAAAATGTTAGTTTTGAAATAAAAAATTATTCTCAAAGAATAATCTTTCTTCGTTCAATTGGTCAAATCGATTTCTTAGTCACTTTTTTATTTTTTCATTATTGATAATGAAATGACTTAATATTCAACTTCTGATTTAAATAAATAAGTCACAAATATTGAGCATTACATGTTTTCATTGATAGATCGGCACATTTAAATATTGTGATTCATTGCGCAAAATTGAAGAAAAAAAATGGTCAAACGATATGTTCTTGAATTGTGAAATAAATAAAATCTTTGTTTTGTAATTAATTTGGAAAAAAAATCATATTTTTCTTCAACAGTGAGTAATCTGGAAATTACATGAGTTGTATATCACTTACGGATTTCAAGTAATAGCCTTGATAACGCGTATAAACAAAGAATTCTGTAAAATGGATGATAATGATAACATAATCGATGTAAGTTATTCAAAAACACACACAGCATGCATGACACATGACATCACATTGAATCACACTCCACAGTTTCTTATTGCACACAATATTTTCTTAGCTCACTCTAATTCGTAATTGTTGCTATTTCAGTTTCAAAAGATGAACTTTTCGCCGTTCACAACGCAGTTCAATTGTTTGCCAGCCAATTCTCTGCATCAGTTTACGACCGCAAAGTTTGCACAGAATTTGACCACTTCAAATGGTCAAGTTGTGAGTTTGGTGTCGGGCTCCGATGGAAATGTGCAGTTTGTCCGCTCTGTGGATGGTGCGGCAGCCGCTAATTTTCCTACACAAATCCAACAAAGTGCCCCGACAAACATTTCACATGCACAAACATTCATTCTGCCGATTACGATGCCGGGCGAAAAACCAGGCGATGCACAGCAAACCGTTCAAATTCAGGTGTTGAACCCGAATCAAATTCAAGCCGCACCAAAATATCAGAATATTCCGATGTCGTTGCCGATTCAAGGATTTCCACAGCAACACACGGTGCTCACCGTGTCGATGCCGCCTGACAGTGAAATGCTTCCAAATCACGGTTTACCCGAAGGTGTCACAGTATTAGCAGCCATTCAGCCGCAAGATTTACAATTATTCGCTCAAACGCCACCGCATATGCAACAAACAAACACCGATGGAACCAGCATCCAAATGACCACGGACGGTAACATGAACAATTCGGTGAAGGATGAAAATGAAAATCCGTAAGTGTTGAATCGACTTATCTCCCCCTCTCTCTCTCTCTCTTTTGAAGATTTTTCAATTGACATGACATAAAATGACCCCATGGTTTTGCTTTTCACAGTGCAATGAATCCAATAACCATCAAACAAGAGCCATTCTGGGCGCAGAATACAATCGCAACACAACAAAATGATATAAGTGACTTCATTGCACGTCAAGGAATCTCAATCAATTTGCAACCATACTTAAAATTTGACAATGACAATATGCAGATCAAGCGAGGTGATACAATAACAACGGATGGTATTGTTATTAAGCAGGATCCGGGATTGATTGAAATCGATGAGATCAGCAAGCATAAATTGATTGAATCGATTCAAGAGCAAGCACATCAAGTATTATCACAAGTTCAATCTCAGCAACAACAGCCGCAACAATTGCAATCGACTGATTTGCAGCAACGACAACAGCAAACGGAACAAACGACCGAAACAAAAGTCGAGGTTGACGCAAACGGCAAAGTGAAAAAGAAGCGAAAATATAAGAAGAAGCCGCCCAAGCCGAAGCCACCGAAACCAGGCCAAGTGCATATAGCGACAGCACTCGATGGTACCATCCTCTTCTGTTGCCCCGAATGTCAAATGGCCTATGCGGAAAAAACTGATCTCGAACAGCATTTAACTGTACATAAAATTGGTAAGTTGTCATCGATTGTGCATTGTGGCACCCGAGTCATTCAACTGATGCCCGTTTTTAACTTTAGAACGACGCTACATTTGCGATATCTGCGGAGCAGGTCTGAAGCGAAAAGAGCATCTGGAACGACACAAACTTGGCCACAGTCCGGAGCGACCGCACATATGTAGCGTGTGCAAAAAGGGCTTCAAGAGGAAAGAACATCTAAACCTGCATTTTGTTATTCACAGTGGCGATAAAACTGAGGTGTGTACTACACCATTAATATATGAAGTTCTATTTCATCTGCTAATTTGTTTCCTTTACTGATTCCAGATTTGCGGTGAGTGTGGAAAAGGCTTCTATCGAAAGGATCATTTGCGCAAGCACACCAAGTCTCATGCATCGAAGCGACTTAAGGAAGAATTGAATGCACAGGCTCAAGCACAGAAAGCGGCAGCCAATGGAAATGCGAATGCAAACACGAACAAAGCGGCGAATGTTTCAATGGCCAATTTAACGTCGATTTCATTGGGAACCGTCACTTCGAACACAATCGATACGAGTGCAATAAAAACGGAGCTAACGACAACCGACTGCTCCGCCGATGACTTACTGCAACAGTTTCAGACACAGCAACAGGTGCTTCAGCTGCAAGGCGACTGCCAAAATATTGTCCTACACGTAAATATCCACTGAATTTTCTTGAAACAAGTGTTTAAACACTGAAAATAATGGGCAAAGAAACTAAATGATATATTTTTGATTAGGTACCCACGGGCGTAGATAATACAACGTTGCCCGTTCAAATAAAACTACCGCAGCTGCTAACAACAAGTTCTGCCGATGGTACTACGAATACGGTTGTTTTGCAGCCGAATGCAATTTCTACCGCTAATTTAAGCAATAATAATTTTAATAGTCATTCAACGTTATCAACCACCTCATTGCTACCATGACAAAAGCCGCAACCGACCATTCTTATAGGTAAATCACAAATAGCACACGAACTCAGTCGGAAACAGAAGATCATCATTTAGACAATGAAACATGGAGAGAGAGGATTGTACGCTTTCGTTGTATTGCGATTCACTCTTTTTCATGCAATTAAAAAAAATGAAATACTCATTTAAAACGGAATTAGCAACAGCAAAAGGCTTCACAAATGATTTCATCAAACAGATTACTTATGTAGCGACCTAAGCAAACGAGCGCACGTAATTGTTTCATTTTATGTTGTATATTCTCGATGAATGTTGCTTAAAATCATCGCTCGAGTTGCACGTTTATCTATTAAACTTTTTAGAACAATTTATTCGAGAGTTTAATTCATCGATTTGTACCTCCAAAATTTTCCTTTTCTTATTAGTTTAAGACAATGTTTTATTTATTACTTTTGTTTATTCAAAACAATCACGACATTCTGCCCAATATGTAACTCCTGAAAGACATTTTTTTCTTTACCTTTTGTATATATCAATCATTTTTTTTTACTTTTAAAATGAAAAGATTTTATTTCATTTAATGTAGTATTAGGTATAATGGAAACTGTTACGACGTATTGAAGATGAGATAGAGCATCAAATTTGGATTCGAATCAGAGAACGTTAGAACCAATATTTTTTTACGTTTTACTAGAGAATAGATAAACACCTGTACGATAAGCTTAGGTTGGATTTGAAATGAAAGGAAGAAAGAAAAAATTGTTCAGTGAACATAGGCAAAATACATGTATGTAGTCCGAAATTGGCTGGCTGATATGAACATATAACAACACTTGAACTCTTGACACAGAGGTTGTAATGATTTTTGTATAGAAACACAAACTATTTAAAAGTATTTGGTGAGCGAAAGATTCAGCGAAAATGGTGAAACAATGATTCGTTGAACCATTTCAAATGTATGCTTTGGTTCACACATTCAAAAAGATCATGTCAAATCATACCAACGATCATAAATATTTTTTTATAACAATTTTTTTCACAAATGTTTGAAGAAGGACAGAAAAAGAGATACGATTTTTAAAAAAATAAATCATGATTCATAAGCATTTAAAAGCAATTGTACGTTTTAATTCCGATGCCATCCAATGCCCTGAAATAGACTCCGTAAAGTAAGTGAAAACACGTTTCTTTGTTTGTTCATTTATTTATAAATTTTTATTTTTATATTCCTCAAATGGTTAATTTTCTCCATCTCTGTATATAAAAATTATGATAAATGGTTAATAATTAAATAGTTTTCGTTTGCATTTCTCATCGATCTCTGTTTTTTTTTTAATTACGAGTAATTTGCATTTTAATTAGTATAAATTTTGTTTCTTGAAATTTTTCTCCGCCTACTATTGCAATTGATTCATCACTACTTTTATTATGCATTGTTGTTTTTCAAAACATATTTGTGTGGCATCATGATAGTGTTTTTTAATCATCATCCATTGAGAATTTCCACAAAAAAAATGAATCATCAAAGAGTGGTGCCAGCGCTTGCATAGTGCATTATATTCAACATCACTTGGATCGCGTGCAGTCAAACGATCATCATATGATTGTGTTTATCAATAAATGTAATTGATTCTTCGTACACCTACAACAAGTGGCAATGAAGTGTCAAGCGCTGACACTAACTGTGCTATCTAAATTAAATGTTGCTGTGCTCAGTGGAGCAATTACAAATGAACGTAACCTACTAATTAACATGATTAAAGCAGTTTTCGTGATTTTTCTTCTTTATCTCTCCTCTCACCTTCTACTCTTCGGCTAAAAGTTCAATATATTTTCATTCCTTTTCCAAGCTATTGTTTTCATTGTGGACCGTAGAAAAAGTGTTATTTTTTTTATAAAAATGCTCCATTGCTTCAACAACATGTTCAAGTCTTTAATAATTTAGAAGACAAAATCCGTTTCAGGCAAAATTCAATGCACTATTACACCAGTTAAACATATCAAAAAGGTTACACCATTAATGTTTATTGACTTGAATCAATGTGTTTGCGTTGTGTTATGTTGAATGTGTGTTCAATTGGCAAAATAATTTCAAATGCGTCGTTTGTCCGTATATTTTCGAAAAAAATGCACTTTGTTTTGTGCAATTTTCATCACCTGAGCCACTATTGATTGTGATTTTTAAAATAAAAGGCAAACGAAAAGAACGAAAGAACAATTGAATGCGTTTTTCTTTTCTATGACTTTTTCTTATAAATTGCTATTAAGGTCTCCAGCTTCATTTGCTCTATTCCACTGTCTTTCCACTTATTCTCTCTCTTTGCCCAGTTTTCCTCAATAAAATTTCAAACTAAATGCAAACCACCTCTTTCTTTTCACAATAAAATATAATGATATCTTTAATTGTTTATTTAAAATTTAAATTAATTGTTTAATTTGGAGTCGACCAAGAAGTGTGCATTAGTCATTAAAGGAAACCCCATCCGTTTGAAGCGGCAAAACCGCGCAAACGATTTACACACGGTTCAAGGTCTAATACACACACTTGCTCATTTCTCTGCCAATGTTAATTTTTTTTTGTAAATTATTGAATGATTTCTTCATTTTTTTTGTAATTATTTTCTTATTTTATTCAACTCTTTTTTTGTGTTTTTCTTTTTGCTCATGAAATGGGAATTTCATTAAAAAAAAATTAATTCATTTGTTCTATATTTCAGTGTTTCTCATACACATTTTAACTCTTTCTGTTCGATAAATGATCTCCAAAATGTGTTTTGCTTAATTTAAATTTTGAAAAATACACATAAAAGAAGTGAAAAATAAAACAAAAAGAGCACAGATTAAATGCGCTAGAAAAACACACAAAAAGCCGCATACAAATTTTTGAATAGTACAAATATGTTTTGGAGAAGAAAAAGAAGTGAACAGGTGTTGTTTTTGGTTCTGTTTGAGGATTTGTTATTGTTGTTGTTGTTTTTTTTCTTCATAATGCAATTTCTTTTTTTGATTCGATAAATACTTAAAGAGGTGCGCTTTTAAAGAGAACATGTGACTTTTTTTAGACAAATATCTTGGAAAAAAACACTACTTTCAACATTAAATGGCCACACAGTATTGGACAAAGCCGTTATTATAGCTGCGATTCAAAACAATTAAAGAATATTCTAACTTGTTTCATGCTGAAACTAATGCTTTTCACCGTTGTCCAAAGAAAATGATATGTTCCTCTTTAGCACGCAGCCTTTGTTGTTTGTCCTTCTTGTTGCACTTTACACAATGATAGAACTAAGATCACTTATATTTATAATTTAGCAAAATAATAATTGTGTTTTTTGTTTTGTTTTGTTATGTTATTGTTGTATACAATTCATTCATTTTCCGCTCGTTTGTTTCACACAAGAAAAATCGCTTGAAATTGTATTTTGATGCGTTCGATTTTTTTGGCGGAGGAAATTATTGAATTTGCCGAATCAAAATTGATTGGTCAGCGTGTCTCTAATATGTTGGGAATTGTTGTTGTTTCTTCTGACAAAAGTGAGCAACGTTGTGTGAAAAGAAAGGGACAGAACGTGCATAGGCAGACAAATTGGATGTGAGGGTGTTTACAGGAACTTGCATCTTCGCTTCTTTGGTAATTCTGGCGGTTCCAGTGCTGCCAAAATGGCCTCATCGAATACGTTCTTCAATCCTTTCTGCAATCCGAAAGAGTCGAGAGGAAAAATGGTTACATTGTTGACTTATTCCAAGCAGGTTTGGTAACTAATTCTGTGAGAAATTTGGAGCCAAAACTCACCTGTGTCAATGCCGAACACTCGACGAATTTAACAGCTTTCAACTCCTTAGCTAATTTTTCCCCTTGTTCCATTGTAATTGGCTTCTGTTTGTTCTTCGCCAGCTTTTCTAGAGTTGTGTTCTCATCACGTAAATCGATTTGTGTGCCAACCAACAAGAATGGCGTCTTCTGACAATGATGTGTAATCTCAGGCACCCACTTAATGAAAATCAAACAATATTCCCATTAGATTTATAGTAATCATTACGAAGAAAACAAAGCGAATGCTGCGATTGTGCATCGCATGCCCTACCTTTTCCTTGACATTTTCAAATGAACTGGGACTAACAACCGAAAAACAGACTAAGAATACATCGGTTTGTGGATATGAAAGTGGTCGCAAGCGATCGTAATCTTCTTGACCGGCCGTATCGAATAGACCTAGTGTATATGGTTCGCCACCGATCATAACCGTCACCGCATAATTGTCGAACACCGTGGGCACATATTCGGACGGGAATTTGTTTGTTGTATACGAGATAAGCAAGCACGTCTTACCCACGGCTCCATCGCCGACGACAACACACTTTATCGTTTGCATATTATTTTCTTCTTTGCTTTGACTCCGTTTCTATCGTCTCTGTCTATCGCATGCACACACTCACACTCACTATGTGTTTCAGGTGATTAGCGCTGTTTGGTGATCAGATCGCTGCTGGACCGCCAATGATTCAATTCAATTCTATCGAAATGGAAATAGATTCACAAAGAAAAGAAAGAAAAAGAAAGAAAAAAAAGAAGAGAAATCAAATACAATTATTACATGCATCTCAACCAAAGCAATCTTATTAGCCTACATCTATTGAGAAACAATCAATCGAAATGTCTCAATAGTCACAGTGTATACATAGAATAGAAACCGACTTTGAATGCAGGAAAAACAAAAACAAACGGAGAATTATGTATATGCTGTAATCGATAAAAGGAATTTGCACTTCGAACACGAACTGGTTTTCCGAACGGAATTTTAATAGTTGTTCCGATATTTAGCTGTACATTTTGCTATTAGAATCATAGGTGAAGCAGAGAATCGGACATAGAATGCGTGTGAAAAAATAAAACATGAAAAAATTATATCGAACAACCAACGACTGGCTACGTTGATGTGTGTGTGTGTGTGTGTGTGCGTGTGTAACTTTGAGCAGGCCGACACACAAAATTGCAAACTATTTTACAGAAAATTACGACGAAAAATACAAGTGACAGACTATTTCAGCGTCGATTGAGTCACGATTACATATAAAATTCTTATCCAATTTGTTTTTCGCATTATTTTATTTCGTCGCTTTTTCAAGTCGATTTCTCGTTGTTGTTTTATTTTTGTCTGGAGCCGATAGCAAAACACGAACAAGTACAAACTAAATGTCAAATTTATTAGCTATTTTTCCGTGGGCAACATTATGGAATCGTGTATGTAAATTGTGTGTAAAGGCAAAACGGCCAAATGAATCCGAAGCGTTGGAAAAACAACGAATCGATTTAAAATTTCTCAAACAAGCAATTACATTAGATATTTATGACGAGAAAAAAACAACAACATTTGAACGCTTCGTGCGCAACTGGAAAATTAATGTCCATATTTTCGTTCTCACAGTCGACTTCCTCATCAATTGGTGTGTGTATTTTTTGTTTTTGTTCATTCCGTATCTTCACATGATGTGTAACGTTATCGCTTCACTTTCCAATGGCTAACACTCACATTTGCGGTTTTCGCCTGTCGATACCTAATGGAGTGTATGATATTTTGTTCGTGTTCTCAGAACTCAGCCCCAAAAACCCTAATCTGCAAACTGATGATTATTTTCATTTGTTGCGTGTGATTTTTGTCTTAAATTTCATATGCCACACCGAATCAAGTATATATAATTTATACACCAAACAATCTCACAATTTAATTGAGTTTATTGGTCTGAAAGGAATAAAAATTGAAAAAAAGAGTGACCGACCAAACAAATGAACGACCAAATTAAAAAAAAAACACAATTGTAACTTGACGTTGTGGGTACATATATTAAAAGAATGAACTGCAGTCAGCCATTTTGGATATTCACATTGGTATGCTGTATACACACATAGAGGAAGAAGCAAAAATTCCATTCATGTGACACCGAAAACGAAATAATAAGAGAAAGACGAACAGAACAAAAAAGAAGAAAACGCAACAACAACAACAACTAGCCCATACACACACTAAACGGGGCGCGATGATGAAATGAAACTAATCAAAATACGTGTGGTTATATGGAATGGCACCGACATATGCGAGATACGCGATACACTCATCCAATTATTTTTATGTTGGTCGTTCCGTGGACGTACGTATATTAACGAAAGAAGAGGAAAAAAAAACAACAGAAAAACGCACCCAAACTCACAATACGGTTTAAAAAAAAAAAAAAATTGAATGCATTGTCGTATTGAATTTATCAAAGTACGAAATCACATCGTATTTCATTTGCTGACGGCGCAAAAATAAAAATCCGTTTTCTAAAAAAGACCACACACTCACAAATACACCGACAACCAATTGATATGAAACAACACTGGACGCGATGTTAGTCGATTTAGACCGAGAGTTACGCATCAATTTGAAAAAGAAGAAAGAGAACGAGTCGATGACGGAAAAAAAGTCAAACTAATCAAAAATCCAAAGTCGATTTGCTAAAATATTTAATGAGTCGTACCCGCTTGTTGATTCACTCGAAATACTTTGGCCAACAAACTTTTTTTTTTCGCAATTCGATGTCTATTCCGTGTTACACAGCATGAATTTGATTTAGTAACTGCACTCCTTTCTATTTTTTTTTTGTCTGTTGTTTCGATTCGATTCACGGTACGCGTTGTATGCTGGGCTGGGCAATGTGATTAAACTTTTGTCGAAATGCACTTTTCGAATTCGTATGTGTCTCGCTACGTCGCGCGTATCATATATAATATATTTGTATTTAATTCAGACTCAGACCTGTGTGTTGTGATGAAGTCACTAAAAAGCGAACCACAGAAACACAGAATAAATGTTTTTTTTTTTATAAAACTCTTCACGTACACACAACAACCGCACCAAGAATTTTCAATGTATTTGTTGTTTTTTTTTCACAGTTTCTACTGTCTTTCTCTGCCTTTTGAACGCAAGCATACATATACGCACACACATACAACGTTCGTATCGAGATGTTTCGCTGTGTTTCTGCTTCGTTCATACGTAGCTTGTACAACACGTATTATATTTTGGTATGTCTTTTCATACGCTCGACAAAGTCGGCAAAAATATCGATGTCGACGGTAATCGCAAACGAACGCCGCTTGTCGATGTATGCGTGTCTTGTTTTCTTCAATGCTACTGTATGAGTGCTATTGTAGTGTGAAATTTGACGTTTTCCAAAGTCTGCGGCAACTAAAGTCTCCAATAAAATTGGAATTGCGTGTTGATTTTTATGTGGCGTTCACACAACACTCGCTCTCGTTGCAAATGAAATTTCTTTGAAGCAATAAAATGAGTTTTTTTTTCTTCTCCACATAAATAAACAAGGATATTCGCTTAGCCAAGCAAATTTCAATATAGGTGGTTTGAAGCGATTTTTGCAAGTTTTTCTTAATTCTGATTTATGTGTTGGGTTCGGTAACGATAGCAATTCTCAGTGTGCTCTTTGTTTACATTTGTATATGCCATACAAATACGAAGTATTGAATGTCAAATGACATTGTGCTCCGAGTGCTTGAAGAGACCGGTTTGATTCGTGTTTCAGAGTGGAATTTTTTGTCAAAAAAATTCAAATAATTTTCGCTAACGAAACGACGAGAAATTAAAGAGAAACATAATTGAGTTGCTCACATTTGATCAAAAGAGACGGACACATTCGGTTGCTCTCGGTGGAGTTTTGACTCTTGAAAAATGGAAAATAATGAAATAAAAATCACACATTTCGTGAATCCGCATTTCTTTTTCTTCACATGGGTACGAGATGAAGGTAAGCCCGTTTTGTTGTCGTCTTTAAGTAGTAAATCCATTTTCACTCATTTTGAATGCAATTTTTTTTTAAGGTTTCAACGAGGAATTGAAAGTGTTGGAGGATAAAATCACGAACATTGCAAGAGTGAATGCGGCTGATATGAAAGCAGATGATTCAACGGTAACTGGCACTAAACTTGGTGATATGGTTGGTGTGTTTTTGCCCAATTGGAACAAGTGGATACGTGCTTCGATTAAAAAGAAGGATGGTGAAGGGAGCACCGAGCGGTTCGGCGTTTGGGCCATCGACTATGGCTATCCACTAGTGTCGAAAGCTTCACACATCATCAAACTGCCTGCCTCGTTTAAAGGAATGTTTTTGAAAAGCAACAACATTTTTACGGGCGGTATCGAAAATATTATGCCGACCGGAATTCGCTATGATATTGCACTCGCAACCAGTGTCAAAGAAAGGTTGTCAAATTGGTCGCCAGACGCCATCGAATTGACCCAGAATATTTTGCAGCGCGCCGTCAAAGTGGAATTCGAGAATGTGCATGAATACAAACCAAAAAAGTCGCATTTCTTTGGAAGATTAATGGTACAGAGGCCAGATGGGCAAAGGATGGACATTGTCAAGTGCCTGTGGGATATGAATATGGCAGCTTTCGCTGAAAGTGGATTCGCGGAAGAAGTCAAGACAAGTGAAACGCTTCAACAGCGACACTGGCTTTCTGTCAATGGTGACATGTTGAACCTGAATTTTGTTGTTTCGCCAGTTGCCATTGCGAAAGACGAAACTGGCTACACCGATAAAGAATTCTTCGATGATGAATCTGAAATTGATGACGAAGAAGTTATGCCCGATGCAGTCGATGAACAGTTTTTCAATGAGTCGGTGTCTGTGTTCCAGCCACAATTCCAGCCAAAAAATACATCCCCCATCAATGGAGCCAATGAATCGCAAAATGTTTCGAACGGCCCAGCACCAACGTCAAATGTGTTGCCATCCAAAAACGATAGCACCGAGTTTAAATCAAAGGCTGACACCGAAAAGCAAAGTGACAGCTCAGTGCCAAAAGATTCAAGCAACAAAAATGGCCAAGGTGAAGATATTCAACGTGCCAATCGGTTTCGCAGATACAACAGACTTAAGAATAACTTTCGACGTGATCCAAATTTGGCCGACAATCAGAATAGCCAAAGACCACAGCAATTTCAAATCCAACGTGCTACCGTTTCAAACCAACAAAATACCCAACCGACCCAACAGAATCAATTCAACCAACGGCCACCCAATTCGTTTAACTCGTACAAAAATCAATTCAATCCACCAGCGCACTTCAATCAACCGACAGGCCAGTTCAATCAACAGCAAGGTAGACGAAGTGTTGGTGGTTATGTTCCGTCAAATTTGCGCCCGAATTTTCGAAATAACCGCAACCGAAATGTAGTATCGAACAATCAATTTGGGGATCCTGAATTTCATGCTGCCTTGGCTCATCCACAACTTTCAAGAATAACCGAACATGTTCCAATGACAAATGGTCCCATGAATCTCCCTTATCATCTTCCGATACAACCATTTTTGCGCCCTGGTCATGGTCACGGTCCGAACTATGGACAAAATTTCGATAAAAATCAAAGAAATCAGCCGAACGATCGCCAGAACAATAGACAAAATGCTCGGTATGTGCCAAAGAATCAGACGAAAAATGCCGGTCCAGAAAAGAATCGCAACAACGCCAAGAAACCAACCGAAAAAGTTGACGCAAATTCGGATGCGGCATCGACGTCAACCGTAAAAACAGATTCAACCAAAATTGAATGCAAGGTGCAACGCATGAACATCAAAAGTGAGGCAGCTGAAAATGGGGCCAATTCAAGTGCTGAATGTAAGTCATACGCTGCCGAAGAAAATGCTGCGGTGAAAACTGAGCCGAAACAAGAAAACACAGACGAATGAATACGCAAACGTAGATTTTTGTTCAAATTGACATTTTTCAAACATTTTTTTTTTTTCATTATAATTGTATAAGACAACTGCATGTGCATAGTCAACAATACTTTGTTTGACATGCTGCAGAATTAGTTTTTGATTTTTATGCCTCTTAAAATGCTAAAGGGGCCAACGATTCTTTAGAACAAAGTTACAATAACAAATATTCCTATCATCGATTTATCGAAACCAATTTGAAAATAAAAGATATTTTTGTCATAGGAAGAGTACATCTATTTGTACCTCACACTACCTAGTGCATTGAAAAATAATCATGTGATCACGCATCGATATCTTGAATAATAAATTCATATTTTATAAACTGTTTATAAATCATGCAAAATGCTCGTGTTTATTTATCCATTTGTACAGCTTTCAGAAGGGATTGAGGCTATTTGGAATGAATCGACTGTAAGTATGTAATGATAACTTCTTGGGAACAGCAAACATTTTTAATTTTCGATCATCACACGATTGTTACAGAAGCCAACCAATTGATTATAATTTACGACTTTAAAGTAAACCAAATCATAATGATACTTTATGTGGTGCCATTAAAATCTCGGTTGGTCTGACGACAAATGAATTTGTATCGGATTTCTTGTTACTGTATACTTTTCTCTCGGCGTTTTTTTTTTCTCGATGCGATCACATTTTGACTGAATAAACAAAAAAGGGTTTTCAGAAATGCGACGCATGCAAAAGTTCGCATTCAGTCGCCATCAGTGAGCCAGAGCGAAATCACAGACAGAGTCATCAGTTAGCAAGAAGTTCTCAAACAAAACAGTCGCACCAAATCAGTTTTTCTTTTGCATTGTAAATTCGTGTCCAGCATGATAAAAATAACACATTTCGTGAATCCGCACAAGTTTTTCTTCAAACGGTTGGAGGATGAAGGTAAATTGCATGCAATTTTACTCAAATTTTCTTTGCTAAATAGTCAGAATCTAATGTGAGATTACATTAAAATGCGCTTTGACCTTAGGGTTTGACAAACAGTTGGAGGAAATGGAAGTGAAAATCAAAGGATCGGTCAACAAAAGAATGCAGCCGCCAGATGGACCGGAAGACATTCAAATTGGTGACCTGGTAGCCGTGCTTATGCCAGATTTTAACAAATGGATTCGTGGTGTCATCAAAGCGAAAGATGAAACCGGTTTGGTGTACGTATGGGCAGTTGATTACGGTGTACCGTTGGTGTCAAATTCCACGCAAATTTGCAAACTGCCAGCGATCTACGCAAAAATGAATGTCAAGTTTCAGCGTGTACATTTGGGTGGTTTAGTCAATTGTGTTCCAGCTGAATCAAGCTATGACTTCGAAAAAGATAGTGTCATTATGCGTGAACAAAGCAACTGGTCGATGAACGCCATCGAAATTGCACAAAGTGTTGTCGGTCGTGCGGTGCACTTGAAATTTGACAAAGTGGAAGATGTCCGACTGCCAAACGGGTCACACTTGTTCGGTCATTTGAAAGTCCAAAAAGCCGATGGTTCATGGAATGACTTAACCACTTGCCTTTCAAATGCATTAGTTGCGAAAGTAACCAACGATACGTGGGCCACTCATGCACATCGACTGGACACAATCAACCAAAAGGAATGGCTCACGATGAATGGTTCGCCGTTACAAGCAATGATTGTGGTGTCACCCACTTCAGCTGAAAAAATTGCCAACGAACTTAAATTGCAGAATAAGGACCAAGCAAAATGTCAGCCGAACAAGAACAAGCCTCGAATTGAAGAAGATCAACAAGTTGCCACCGGTCAAGCAAATGAAAACATCGAAAATCAACATTTGGACATGAAGGCCGGTAATACACGCAATTTTTCCAGAAAACACAGTCTCAGCGTAGCCGCAAGTACGAGAGGCGGTGGTCGTGGTGGTCTTAATTTCCATGGCAGTGGAAGACCCAACAATCGTGTCAACAATTATCGTCAACGTGACGATGACTACAGTTCACAGTTCCCCAAAGGTTGGCACACCAACGGATTGCTCAACAACCAGAAATATCGCGAAGAAATCGAATTCTTCGAGTCATCATTCATACCACCAATCAATTCAACCTCATCGGAAAAAGCCGATGATGAATCCAAAGACACGAACACGAATGAAAATGGGCCCGTTGAAAAAGTGACACCCAATGTTGCGACGGCAAATGCTCAACAGCCAAAGAAAGATGATACGGACATAAAACTGAGTGTGAATGGTAATGACAACAACAATGATGGAGGTGGCGGCAACAGCCAAGTGAATACTGCGAAACCTCAAAATTTGAACGAGAAGACGGAACAGTCTACGAATTCGATCAATGCGAGCCAAACAACAAACAAATCAGAATGAAAAGAAACATCCAGATTTTCATCTTTGATTTAGTTTAACAAAATCTCACAACATTTCATTTTTTTTTCTTTAAAAGTTCTTCTATGAACGTTTCGCATTTATGTCGATTGTGAATGGGGTTTCTAACGTCAAACCAAGCTCATTCATTGAATGCTTTGGTCAAAGCTAGGGATTCAATCAAATAAATTCACTCATGTAAACAAAAACTCATAGAAATAATAGCAATACCTAAGTATAACCTAAACCGCAGTAAAATTATTATGGCTTTCGAGCAGTAATAAATACAAAAATAAATCAATCATTTTCCATTAAATTACATGGAGTTCATTCATTCATTCATTCTGATTTCATTTTCTTTTTGGGGCAAACAGCATTGCAGATGAATCGGGGACACATACGGTATGTACTTTGTGTGACGAGATGTAAGTATTAAAATTGAATACAGAAATAAATGGCATTTTTCGCCGTAATCAATCAAACTATGAGCGATAGCTTGTTGCGAATGTTGAGCTGTAATGTTTGAATCAATGTAGGTCATTTGTGTGCTTTCGGCGGAGTTGCTATTGATTTTTGAATTGGCTGCGCTGTTGCTGTTTCTGCTGCTGCTGTACACCATACAGCATCATCATTCAATCAAATTGCATAGTTTTGGTGTAGTTTCCTTAATTCACTATGCCCCTCTGTGCCGATTTTGTTTCCGCAAAATTATTATCTGCAACAATGTGGCAAGCCAATTTATCCTGGAACATACAGCGCCCAAAACAAACACAATGAGAATACGGCTAAATGTTAAGGATTGAGTGAGCACATATACATCCATTAAATGGGATACGAATATTTTTTCTAGCATAATCGATTGAAAACATTGTGTGCGCTTACGGAATATAAATTTTGCTGGCCATTCCATTGGCCCAGTTTTGCATCAATATTTATTATTCATTTGGATGATGTTCAATAAAACGAATTCCGCATAAATTTTCAAACGCAAATGTACATATAAAACGCTTCGATATGCATTCTGTGAATCATTCAACTGTTGCACAATATTCTATAAGACTCAAATGGTTCGTGCTACAGCAGTTTGATTACAAATATTCTCTATCGAACTGCGCCATCAAAATAATCCAGTGAATTGATACGAAAAATGTCGACGCAATTTCTGTTCGGAAAAAAAGTCAAACAGCAATTGTCGCCAAACCCATACACACACACAGTTACATATCATGTCATTTCGTTAATTAGTAGATTTGTTGATGCTTTGAACAACAGCAAGTTAATTTCCATTTTTGACGGTTGAACCGTTTTTCTGTGGGATAACTATTTTTCAATTCGAAAAAATAAACTATCATTTAATCTGGATGGAAAATTGTAAAATTTCAATGTATAATGCAAACAAACGAACTACATGAGGAGAGAAAAGAAACATTTGCTTGAATGAGTAAGTATTAGCACTGCTAATTTAACACTATCGACAGTTTATTCTACTTTTTTCTATTTATTTGAATCAATCACAAAGCATAGAATGAAATTGAACGTTATGCTTATAATCATGTAATTACAACAAGTGTATAGAAGAAGTATTTAGATCCTTCATGCGAGACGCTTAAGTGGAATTTCAGCAAAAATACAAATATTTACACGGTATCGTTGAACTGTAAGAGATTAGAGGTGGTTGGGATCGCCGCTCGTAACGTGAGAATGCAAATAACATTCAATAGGACCGTAGAGCGTGCAATAAAAGCCATGAAATACTCCAACATATCAAACTATAAATAGAGTGATTTTGTTTTCGCTTGACTCGTCTGCGTTTGCTCAATCTCGTGATCGAGTATTATAAACATTTCCATATATATAAACATTGCTTCCCTCCATTCGTTCGTTCGTTCGCTCCTTCGTCCGTCCGTCCGTTTGTTCGTTTGTGTGAAAAAGAGAGAGAGAGAGAGAGAGCCGACTATTCGCCGGCATACATTTCAAAATGATTTGATCGGCCATCACATGAGAAAAGTGCTAACAAATATAAATGGAATACACACGCAAACGAAATAAATCTTTAGAATCCAAATTATTAGTTCGTCCACGACTCCATTCTAGTTGTCTATCCCAATTGTTTGTGTGTCGTTGATTTCATCGTTAATATCAGTTACCATTACTAAATATACCGCCACCGACACAACAATACCGTCACTGCCTACTGCTATTGCAATCGCCGTCACCGCCGTTGTCGTCGCCATCGCTGCCATCGTTATCACTCTATGAATCGATTCTGAATCGGTAATGTGTTGATTTCATTTCACTCTGTTTGTTTGCCTCAGCGTTATATTTATGTGTGTTCGTGTCTGTGCGTGCCCATACATTACTTGAACGAAGAGTATCAGAAAATACGAGAAAAATTTCACGTACCCAAACACTTTTTGAATCCGATTGTTTTCAGTACGGTTTGAGCATTGCAACGGTTTTGTTGTTCGCCACTTCATGTATCTCTAAATTGTGAATTTATGTTTAATTTTTCAAAAGAATCGTATTTTGAAAAACAGAAATCGTGGACATTTTTCTTTAGATGAAATTGTTGTCCCGATTGTTTAACGGCATTTAATCTAATAACACGGAAAAATCGAAAATTCAGAGTTTTTGTGAAAAATTGATAAAGCAATTGACGCAGGTAGTTTTTTCAATGAGTTTTATCAAATTTTCTATAAAGAAATTTTTCTACAGTGGAACAAAAACGTTGGCCCGATCATTTCAAAAGAAGTGTTCACTTTCAATAAATAGACAAAAAAAAAGTAAAGAAATAGCATTTAAATCGTCAATTAGTGGCCATTTTCAGCATCAAGTGCTGAAAGAACTTGATCTTCATTGGACGCAAACAAGAAACGCCTATACAGGAAATTTTTTTTGTCATGAAACAAAAAGAGATCATAAGTGATGTTACAGCATTCGTGTTGAAAACCGTTGAACGTTTAACACAATTTGTCATAATCCCCCTTTGTGATCTGAATTCTAAATTTAGCGCTTAGTTTTGATTGCAATTCGTATGATGTTATGCAGTTCAATTGAGAGACCTGCAGCAAAAAAAAGAAGGCAGCATCATATGTATGCAACGCGCGTACAGTTTATTTATAAATGACATAAAATAGTGAAATCAACGGAACACAGCCGCAACGTCGATGCGAATGAGTAGAAGATGTCGCTTTTGAATGCAGCCCAAGACGATTGTTAAAACGCAGTCGGATGCAAATTGAACTCAATTGCTCGATTTACATGCAAAAATAATCCACACACGCACACATATACACAGGGCAGAGAGAAAGAGAGAGAGAGAGAGAGAGAGAGAGAGAGAGAGAGAATAAATCTAAACTGCACATAATTTGTTATTAACACGCGCTCATCTCGACGTATCCGTTTCGATTTCATTTGTACTTCAAGGCGATTTTAGATTAGACGCGATTTGCGTCTTGTTTTCATATGCATTTTTTTGCGAAAACCTTTTTTTCAATTCATTTCAATTGGAATATCATTTGTGTTTCACATGCAATTGTGCCGGTGCGACAGGACATAAATAAATTTAAAGAGAAAAAAAGGCAAACACAAAATGATATGGCCGTTCCACTTTCCATGTTTTTGTTTGCGTCTCAAATGGTCATTTGCAAAAGCAGATAAGTGACGTGACTTAATCTGTGTGTGGGCATGGATCCGTTTAATCATTTCCATCGCTTAGAAGTAATAAAAATCAACGCCATAATCATTTCATTTCTTCCGATAAAATTTAATAGCAAATTCCTGCAGAACGCCGCCGTAGCAGACGAGCCGCCAATTTAATTTATTCATTTTAAATGTGATCTATTTTTAGAGTCGCGAATAATTGTTGTTTCATTCGTAAAACGCATTTAGAATTCGAGATAAACAAATGATTGCACACACACAGAGAGACACGATGGTACAATAAAAAAAAACGTAAACAACTCACTGTTAACGCATTGTGTTCAGACAATTAGCTCAAATGTAGGCAACGAGAGTAGTGTTTACCGTATGTTTGTTGAACGGCCGAGTCACTGTTTTTTTTCTCCACATTATTTAAACACCGTCGTTGTTCACCAATGTGTTTGTGAAATCAATGAACGACGCAAATACGATTATATACATTACGCTGTTCAATGTATTCGAATTTCTTCCGTTTGCCGCATAAAGTTTATATGTTGAATATACACATATATTCACAATAATGTTTAGCACACCAATGATCCACAACAAAGAAAGCGTTAATTGTCATTGAATGAAAGCGAAAACTTTGTTTACAATTTGCGGGCCATGCGAATGATGCGAGAGAGAAAAAGAGAGAGAGAGAGAGAGAGAGCGGTAAAAAATGTATCGGTATAAACATTTATTGTCCTGCTTCAATTCAATTTTAGCAGCACTTTAAATTGAATGTTTGAGACGCATTTTCATGTTTCAATTGAAAGTGTAATTCTTTGCTACCTCTAAATACAGCAACAGTTTTTCTGGTCGATAATGATGTTGTTTGTTATTGAAAAGAACGCGCGCGCTCGCCTGTTCCACATCGAAGAAACCCACGTTTTAATGCAAGCGCTTGTTGTTTCTATTGAGCCAATGCTCTCATTTACGTCACGTACAATGTGGACAAATATCCGGATTTCCGTTCGATTTGCTTCGAACATGTAATTAGTTTTGCGATGGTGGGCACTGGGCAGTGGGCACACTGAATGGATGCTGTCATTTGCTTTCCATACTCAAATGTCGACCAATCACTTGCATTCGATCCAACAACACATTCTCGATAGAACATTGTTAACATTTTCATAGGATAATTCACAAATACGACACAGTTTTTTTTCTACTCCTTTTGATGTACAAGAAAATTTATGACTGCGGCTAACGCAAGCCGAAACCATCGATTTGCTTCATGGTTTTTGTTCGATGCTCGTTTTCAATTCTCACAGTTAATAGAGAGCCATGACCTTGTTATCATTCACATTGCGAGTAGATTCGGTGCGTTGATCGCATGCGATGAGCCATATTGCGTAGATTTCCAAATCCGATACGACGAAAATGGAATGAATAATTAAAGAAACGGAAATGTCACTGCCAATCGCATATTGAATTCAAATCACACACACACAAACAAAGGGGGGGAGAAACAGTGATTGCTCGTAAAATTTATATACTTTGAAAATATAAATTGATACATATATCAGATATCATGCTGTGGTGCCATCATACCAAATTCAGCCGTTGAAACAGTATGAGCATTCCGTTTCCTACGATAACTCACTTTATTTTTTTCCTTCATCACACTAGAATTACTTGTAACATCGTTTCATTCTCTATATTTTCTCGATGATTTTCTTCTTTTCTTCACTTTTTGTCATAAAATAAAGAAAAACTTAGACGAAATATAACACGCTGATCTATGGTTCTGTTTCTCTTTCTCTTCCACAGGGACAATAAATCGTGTGTTTTCGTTCTGTTTGTTCAACGGCATTGTGAACATTTCGAAAATTGTACTGAATCATTGAATAGAGCGGTGTGGTTGTGCAGTGTGAATCCGTGATACGAATTTCATTTTGGCACATAATCCAGCCAGCCAGCCAGACGACTGTGAAAGGTGACGCGAAAAAACAAACTAGCCAAAATAATACGATTAAAAGTTTAGATAGAAAGATATTCAAGAGCACATATAAGTAAAATCACCATGTCAACGCCACCAACGTCAGCATCAGTGCCACCCGTTACTACAACCAGACGTGAATCGTTCGCAAGACGAGCCGAAAGTCTTATGGAACAGGTAATTCCCGTATTTTTTTCTTTTTTATCCTTAAAAACTTTCTTTATCTCACATCTTACATGATTCCTCCGGAGTAATTTCGCAGGCAACTCAATGCCAATTGAAGGATTCAACTCGGTTACAAGTTTATACACGTCGTTTGTGGCAAACGAAGCGAATGCATGGAACAAATAATTTGTAAATGGAGAAAAAAATAGTAGATGAAAAACAAACTCAGACGAATAGTTAGGTAGACAAAGACTGAACGAATCCAAAATTCCTCAAACCATGTTTCAAATGCATCGTCAGTGCATTCGCGTTATCTCAACCAATTAAGCACAATTGATGCAATTATTCGAAACGATTTTCCAGCATTATACTTTGGCATTTCATAGACTGACAAATAACTACCATTTCTATAGACGGACTACTTTGAAATTTCCGAGCGTGAACGGAAAAGACCAAACCCATATTAGTTGAATGCGAAATAGCCACTTGTGCTATGACGATGAACATACATAAATTACAGCTCCAATAGTCATCAATTCAATTGATTAAATTTATTCTCTCATTGTCAAGTTTCGTTTCGTTGATTCCATTTGATAAACAACATTTTTCACTTGAATCAATATATCCAAATGGCTTGAGACACGAATCGCCTTGAAATTCTCCCCATTAGCTATTTACACGACTAATAATAAAATCGAAACCTTTTTGATGTTCAAAATTGACGTGGATGATATATATTTCGTTTTGGTTGACCGAAAATTGGTGTGCGCTGTTAACGGTATGGATTCGAAGGAATCGAACATAGTGTAACAGATGGCCATATCCAATTCGTTCCATGTTAACGTTAGAAATTATTAATCAGTTTTGGAATACAGACCTATGATAGGACATGATTGATATTGGAATCAAAGATATCATAGCGTCACATGTTATGATCCAAGACACGAACGCTTTGCACTGAACTGAAAATCACTTGCTTTGCAAGCGCCTAATCGAAAAATGTATCGCCGATCCAACTTTGATTTGTTTATCAGTGCTGGTAAAATTAACTTATTGTTTTGGAATCAGACGTGAAATCCTGGTAAAATTGCTCCATTGCTATGTATAGCAAAGAAGATGTATGCATCTTTTACGAGCAAAATTCAAACAATGCGAGAGAACACGATGAAAAAATAACAAGCTACGATTTACAACGTGCCAAATTCATGTCTTCAGCGACGACAATAACGAAGAAAACCTGGATGGAAAAAAAGTGTGACACTGAATTATCTCGCTGTTGAAACATGCTGATGAAAAATCGATAGAAATAAGGAAAACGACGAAATTTTCGCTGCTTTTTCTCTGTAACCCAATGCATCGATTCATTGCTCCAGTGGAACAATTTTAGCGACAAAGAGAAGCAAATGAATGGAAAATTTCCAAGAATTTGTGCGAGATAATTGTGTTTGGTTTTTCTGTTTTTCTTTTCATCGTTCAATACTAATTGGTATATTTTGGATTTTACCGAATCAACTTTTTCTAAAGACCAGTGGCACTTAAGTTTTTGGCGCGGAAGAAAAACAAACATAAAGATAATTATCGACAAAGCTCCAACCAAGAATTAATCCACAAGTTCCAAAAGTTTGAGAGAGTTTGTTCATACAATAAAATCATCGCACGCAAAGCTTGGGCATTACATTGGATTTGTATGATGATTGATTCTGTTTTTTCATCGGAACACCGTTTCACACTGGACTAAACACGCCTTGATTAATTGATGGTGTTATTAACAACTTTTTGGTGTCACTTCAATTATTTATAAATGACCGATTATTGTTGTTATTAGTTCTTCATTTCGTAGCTGCGTGTGCTTACAGTTTTCATTACCGAAATGCTGAAATGAATGCAATAAGATTTTCTCCCATAAAACTGGATACAAGCATTTACGTGATGTGTAACGTTACACAAGGAATCCGTAGAAAATCTTAAATGAATATAAATGTATTTTTCGTGAGCTGTGGCCATTATATTCGTGGGCGGGATGCTGGAACGTTGAGCTTGTTATGACTTGCACGAGGACATAACACCGCTCTTTTTTCCGCATTTATGAGCTTAAACATAATACATTTGACAAGAGTGTACATGAGACCAATGATAAGGCAGCGTAAAGAGGGATTGCATCCAAGTCGTCAAATGTTGTAAAGTAGTCCAACGAACTAAAAAAAAATGAGCGACTTTCAGTTATGAATGGCTTGAGACGGAAAAATTCTTAATCTTGACTCATGTTTCGTACTCTGTTTGCCTTTTTTATTCTCTGTTCGCGTTTGAGCTGATTATAATGATAGACTTATTTCGTATCGAGTTCATATTTCGATTCGATGGAAGGCAGACATTTTGTCTTGACCTTCTGTTCCTTTGTGGAACCCTTTTTCGATGACTGTTCAAGATGGTAGAAAAAAAACAGCCCGAGACAATATTTAACGCAGATTTGAGTGTGATAAGCATTCACGATAAGCGGTATCTTCGTAACGTGCATTGTCTCTCTTGTTTATAAATATTACAATATAATTGGTTGTTTACTATGGCGCACATCCCCAAGTAAGGGCAAATCACAAACGAACTAAAAAATCTCTCGAAATGCCCGAAATAGAGTGTAATTTTTGATGCGTAGTATCGCTCATTATTTAAATTTATGTATAATTTCGCCGTTTCCGTTGGCTAATGGCCAACTTAGGCATGTTAATTTGAATTTATGCGCTGCTGACTCCATTATTATTTGCCTTAATTTGTTTGTCCGAAGTCTTTGTTATTCCATGGATTAATCGTGTGCTTGGTGTGAACTACGCAAAATTAGGCACGTCTCAAAATCAAAAGATTCTTTTTTCGTTCTTTCATTTGACCGGCCGCAATCCAGACCAAATGAATGCTTAGACCAAAATGAATGGAAAGAGAAACTAAAAGGGTCGTCTACTGTCTACAAATAACTCCTGTTAAGCATTCGAGAAGATCAATCACATGGATTTTGTTGTTATCGCTCATTGTTCTTTTGCATCAACGTTGGATGATAGTTCAGTGGCTATCTCTTCAAGTCGATTGACTTTTTTTTTTACCACACAGTTTGATATTCTTTTATGTTTATCGATTGCGCCTTCATTTATTCTCTATTCACCGTTTACCATTGCCACTTGTTCGATGCGATGCGAAAGTATTTTCTATGCATGTTTCTTCGAAGCAATTACTCGATAACATACACACACACACACACACATAAAGGCCACCCCCATGTGGCTTGAATTTACGACGTCACAACGCTTTCCATTACTCATGCCAGCAATAAAATCTATCCGGTTTGCCGTCCTTTTTTCAAAAGAACGGGAAAAAAACAACACATCGAGTTTCTTTTGAAATGGAGAATAAAGAAGCGTAAAACGAGTGAAAAACCAATATTTTATAACGTTTTATCATTTGCCAGAAGAACGAACACAATTTATATGTGATTATGTAACATCAGAAATAGAAAAAAAAACACGATGAGCGCAAAAGTGATGCTAAAACAAGATACGGAATTCATTGTGTTTCAACAATCGATTGAAAGAAGGAAAAATCAAAAGTACGCTTGATGACCTGTTCTATTTTGGAATCCAATGCTTTTGAAGAGGTGTCATTTCAAAATTCAATCTAGTTTTGTGGTGTTGTTTTTATTTCTCATCTATTCTGCACTCCACCGTATAACATTCGATGCACACAAATACATACGTTGGCAAAAAGTGCCGAAAGAGCGCACAGCACGAACCTAACTCAACATAAATATCGATCGAAATATAAAAGCATCCGAAAGACCGTTTCGATCCATAGCATACCTCTGGCTGAGCACGTCTTAAGCGCAACGTGTAGTAAAATCACCACAAGGAGCAGCAGCAAAAAGCAAACGAAAAAAAAATTGGACGCAAAACAAGAAAAACTCAATAAACGAACACTGTAATGGCAAATGAAACAATTTCATCAGAAAAAACTTGCGGGGAAAAAGAGACGGCGAAAGCTCTGCAATTGAATTGTGTCTGCTTTCTGTTTTCTCACCAAAAAAGAAGAAAACAACCGAGAGAAGTAGAACAAGAGAAAGATGAAGCGAAAAATTATGTGCACAAAAATATATTGGTCACAAATTATTTTACCCCAATCGCAGTAGTGTATACTGAAAACGGTCTGCATTTAATCGCATGGCAAGCAATGAAGAGCACAGCAAATGGGTAACCATTGATTGTATGGTGTTGTTGGGGCTTTTATGGCCTCATCGCTGCTCCATCGAACAGTATATCGTAAACATTACGCTTTATTTATTTTGTTTATCCAAATGTTTTGCGACGTTGAACACCGGTGTGCGCCGTTTCTGTTTTCCCTCTGTCTCTGTCTAGCGCACATCAGCTGTGCACAGACCAGAAGCACAACATTCGACGCGTGCGTTTGTATACAGAAAATAGAGTTTTTCCGTTGGCACATTCACCATTTCCCCTGCTGAATGCAAACCGGAGTCGTGTCGTCACTTTTCGCGCGAACAACGAGACCACCCGACTCGCGCACGATCTCACATCCAGCCAGCCAGGATGAATATTATGAAAGCATCCCGTCGATTTCATTCAGTCAGATTTTGGCATTCATCCAGATAACAAAGTGTTGTTGCGTATGCATCCGAACAAAGTGTGTTAAAGAAAAGAGAAAAATCAACAAATTCAAACAACAAAAACAAGCATTCAATTCGCATTGATATTCATTCGATATTCCCAACAAAGTTACCACAAAAGATTCTAACGTACTTTCAGCCAGCAAAATTTCAGACGATTTTGTTGTTTGTTGCGTATTTACAGAGTTTGTGTGCCGACAGACGCACAGTCGGGATTTAAATAGAACGCAGAATATTTTTGGGGTGTTTGTGCGTATTTTCTTTTTTGCGTCACACTTGAAATAAAAAGCTTTCCACCAAACAGCCTTTTTTTCTGGCTTTTGATTTTGCGAGCAAAACTTCGCAAACACACTTCGAAAGATATTGTTTTTCAGAGTGAAAATAGAAAACTAATTGAAAAAAAAAAATTTATTGGATTTTTAGATTCCAAAAAAAGGATAAGTAAAAAAAAAACTACTGAATTTTGTGATTGTGAAAAAGTTCATAAAACATGGAAACTAAAGATAACAGCAAACCAACCACTCCAATGCACGGCAACCACAACCATCATCATGAAGATGTGATTAAAGTTAGTATGTTCGGATGAAAATATTTAAAATTCCACTTGAAACTTTTATGAAATGTTTTTTTTTCGCCATAAATTTTTTTTCGGCAGTATTAAGCTAAAAATACGAAATTATTTTTTTTAATTTATTGTTTGGATTATTTTAAACACTTTAATCATGTCATAGGAAGTTTTATGTAACAAACTCCTGAATTTTTCGCAACGATAAATTCATCAAAATGAAATGACATATGATTATAATAATAATCACATCAATGTTTTGCTGATCAAACCATTTTGATAATATTTCGTCAACAAATTGGAGGGAGAGGCGCCTCGTTGCTCCTCGTAAAAATGAAAATAATAATGTCAGCAGAAGAACGGAATGCGAGCAACGGCACGTTGGTGGAAAATAAAAGCAAAGAAGGGGGCGCATTTTTATTCGATTTCACAGCCCCATTGTTGCTAAAGAAATACACAGGAAAATTCAGCTACGAAATGAGCTCAGCTGAACGGATCCATAGTGCGTATTTGGAATAGTGTTATTCTTTGTTCCACTATTCGAAGTTCATAGCAGAATGATAGAATGATATAGGCAATGAAAAATGGGCGAACACAACAACACTGTTTATATTTTTGTTTTGATTCGAAGTATTGTTGGCATCTCTTGTGCTTATCTTCCCTTCGTTTTTCAATACAGTCGAGAGCAATGAACTGGATACGCGCTAAAATAAGAAAAACCGTCATTTTCTACCGTCTACACTGAGCATGATGGTTTCTGTATGTGCTTTCAGCTTGGATGGCCCTTCTCAATCGCAGCCGTGCTCTACATTGTGTACGCGTATAAAGTGGTCCTCATTTCTATGGAGGATGGAATACGTGCATGTTTGTGCTTGCGCTGGGAGGCTTGGCACCATCACAACGGTGGTGGGGATGGAATATAACTCTTGTGCTATGAATTTGCTCTATTTTCAAGTAAGAGAAAATCTGTTTATTTCGACGAAAAATGCATTTTTCAGTCAAAACATTCTTTGTGATTTCCATCGCTTTTTCGATTCACAGCTTCCCACAGACTCCATGTCAAGCAAAAGAAAATCAAACAAGTCAATTGAACATCATCGAAATGACACTCTATTCAAAAAGAAAGAAACAAAAGCGAAAAGATGTTCGATACCCATTCGGAATTTAAAGTATTGGGTCGAAAAAGAAATGAAAAAAAAAGAGAATTCGAATCGATATTTATTTGAGACTTTTTTTGAGCCATCCACATCACCATCCAACGCATCTGCTCTGAAATGGGATAATTGTTATTTCACCCTCGTTCTCGGTAATGCGCAAGTATGGAGACATCGTTTTGCATTTTAAGTACTTTCAGTCTTCAACAGAAACCGTGCGAGATTACCGTTAACTCAGAATTGGATGGCTTCCACTGTAGATTTGAACGATGATAGAGAAACTTTAAACTTCCATGTTATTTGCCACAAGTTCTTATGGAACAAGTAGAAAAAAAGGCTTTAGAACGGGGTCTTGACTCGGTATGATTACGAAGCAGACGAAATTCATTGAGTATTTGCTATCGATTTTTTTTTCCACTTGGGTACTCTTTTATTGTTCGCAAATCACGCTTCGCATAATTTGTCTAAGATGCTAAATTCGGTCGTATATCATGAAGATAAATCCAAACTGCCCGAAACCATAAAAAAGGCGATGAGGTTCGTTTCTCCCATTTTTTTTAACGTCTCTTCACAACGGATGATTTGCTGTGAAGTAAATGGTTCAACGAAAATGAACTCAATCGAATACAATAACTCTTTAAAACTGATTCAAACTGGCGCACATCGCACACAAAAGCGCCAGTCAATTTCAATTGATGCATTCTCCGTTGAATCTGAATGAATTTACATGACAACAACATTTCGACATTTCAAGCACTTTCGATCGCCATTGATTGAAATGTATGCGCTGCACAATTGGTCTGAGTCGCACTCAATTTACATTTTAATCTCATAATGTGAATGATATGCAATAAATATTGGCAGTCCGTTCCACGTCTATTTACTCTAATTTACTTTGATTGTTGCTCGTTGATTTCTTCTTCTGATTTATTTCAATAGAATAAATCCCATTTTAAACCATATACCAATTTTTTATGAAATTGTTAGAGAATAAATTCCAACGCAAATAATAATAATAGAAGTTTCGACGAGCAATGAAAATAAAAGTTGCTGGAAAAAAGTTCGCTTTGCTTCAGTGACAAACATTCATGTCATATTTGTTTTGCTTTCACTAACTTGTCAATCCCAGTTTGTCAGGCAAGTACTACTTCAGCGTCTTTGCCGCAACTATTTGTATATATGATTCATTCATCGTGTTTTTGGTTCGGTTCTTTCTTTCTAATGTCGGAATGTTTTTCGCAAACTTATGCGCTTGAGTAAATGTAAGAAATGAATGAAAGCGTGCGGTTGCTCAAGTATGCTTTTGAAAAGATTGCATAGCTTAGATTAAAAGTCAAAAGGTACTTAAAGTGAAGAGGAAGCAAGACGAAGGGAAACTGAAATGACATTGAAAGGAGCGACGGAGATGAAAATATTTGCATCGCTGTTGTTGTTCTTCTTCGTATGTTTAATTCAACAAAGCCAGTATCAGCGATGGTTTATAAAGTTGGTCGATGTCATTCGATAAACGTCACACAACATGAGCTAGATCTACAATGTGGGTTCGTTACAAAGTTTTAAGGTTCGGTTTAATGTTCAAGTTGGAAAATTGGATGAAATCTTGGTGTAATTATGATGATTCCAACTCTTTAATTGGCCCTCGAGAATTCGCTATCCACCTCCGATTAAAACGCTGTGAATCGCTTTCAAAGGCAAATTCGTAACAAAAGGAGAAAAAGAAACCAGCTAATTACATTAGTTGAGGTTCATCAATTGGAGTTTGAGCACTGACCCAACTATTTGTCCTTCTTAAATATTTGTGGTTTCAATATCGCAGCTGCTACCCGCTTAGCGTTAGAATAAAAGTGTTGAAATATAGACGAGCTTCCACTTTCGGTTATTACAAGAAAACTTGAAAATAGCTTCAACACCAACCCACATTCCAAACTTTTTTCTTGCTTGTTATGGTAAAATTGAAAATTGGCGAAAAATCCATTTACTCATGCACACCACCACAATCAAACTAACGAGAGGAGAGAAAAAAAACAGCGGAGAAAAATATTATCGAAATGAATTTCGTTCGCGACATTCAATTTATAATTAAATGATAATCACAAAGTGACGTCAAATCCATTTAGTATTTGTTATCTTGCAGCGAATACATCTATATAAACTCGCAGAGGCATGATATGGATTTTCTAAATTTTACGTTTTATCTCGTTTGCCACACTTCTCCATGTACATTTTCTTTTTTCTTTATTTACGTTGTCTATGGATTTTATTTCATGTGCGCCGTATCTGTTTTTTTTTTCGTTTCAGAGATACGTCGTGAGCACAGACCGTTCAGGCGACATACATGTTACAGTTCAGGTAAGCATTTCTAGTCCCATAGTGAGTGAGTGAGTGAGGAATGAAAGTTACCAGGACGAATAATTTTCACATTGTGCACGGTAAAGGACGCATGCCATGGAATGGAACGCAGACGCACACATCCAATGGCATACTAAATCCGAATTTTGTCATTTAGAGCTGTATCTAAACGGTTAAAGTGAACAACTGAATTGGTTATGGTTATAACATTCATGTGATCTGAATGGTGAACGCTCACACACGATTTTTGTTCTTTTTTTTGCCATTTGCTTGCTAGATAACTTTCTCAAACCGACACAACACATACTCACCCTACTTCTTCATTCATAAATATCCATTAATAATTTGTTCCATCTCTGAGCAAATGACGTAACAGCAAAATAAATTATTCAGAATTCGGTGTTGGTGTTTCGTGTCTATGCAAGCGCGAAATATTTAAGATTGCTTGTCATCCGTGTCCGATTCAGCTATCACAAGAGGATGTTTAGTGAAATTTGCATTTTCATTGAATGTTTTGTTCGGCTGGCACCATTGCTATTGAGAAACAATGGAATGTTATTATGCATCACTAAATTATATATTCAAGCGATGGATTCAAGTGTTGGGCGATTCATAAAAATGGCGATGAAAGAAAATGAAAAAGAAATTATTGCTTTTTTCTCTTTTTTTATCCGTTGAGCAACTTTTTTTCTCCTTCGGAATTGTATTCGCTTTGCTTTATTATTCGTCATCAAAAGCATCGTTAACAATCATAAAAACGAGCACAATGATGCGATAAAAAAAGTGAAGACTTGACATAAAGAAATAAACACACAAAAGCTAAATAACAAAGGTTGGGCGCGCAAAAGCTTCGTCAAACCATTGAAAAGATTGCCATTTCAACGGAACAATAATTTTCGCGAGTTTCACGATAGACAAAGTTCCAAATGAATTCCATCTCAATAGACGTAGCGATGTGCTACGAACTTAGCTACGGGATGTAGTCCCATAAGTGCATTCGAAAGAGCTAAAACAAATAATCATATATATTTGCGAGCATGCTGTAAACCATGTACAAACATGTAGCGAATACACCTGAACGCCGGAGCACACTTGAATATTAAGCGCAAAATTCGAGGGAAAATGCTAAAGTCAGAGTTTATTCGAACGGAAGTGCATATTTTCAAATTAAGTATCACATATTTATGCACTTGACACGAAAGCATATTCCAATTGCACCGCGGGAAAGCTAAATTAAAGCATTTCAAGTGCTGGGGTTTGAAGCATCCATTTGGCTGTGCATATAAATTCAACGAATTTGGTTTGGTTTGGTTGGTATATTTTGAGCTGAGTGTGGTTTGTGCTGTGCGATGTGCTACGTTCCATTACACGCATTCGGACTAATTAAAAGGAATGAAATTAACCATTTTAATGGCCACAAATGAATTAAATGCAATTTCATGTATTTTCCAATGGTATTTTATTGTGCAGGGCGATTTGTCGCAGCAAGAGAAACGGGCTGTTTTCATGACCGTTCACGATCTTGGATGTAACCGTAAGTAGAATTGCTCTTGTTTTCTTCCAAATTACCGACCTCAACTTGTCACCAATTTTCGGGGCAATCGATTACACATTCGTTTTTAATGGGAAAACTTTTATGCTTTGCATCAGATACATCGTTTCAAGAGTTCGTGAATAGTCCATGCATGACGGAAATTAAGGAACGTTCGTGCTTCATCCATATTGACGTACCAGGCCACGCTGATAATGCAGATAAACTTCCAGATTCGTAAGTTATCGACGGTAATTCTCCAAACGGCTCACTTCTTGTCTCTCTAACAAAACCAATTGTTCTTTTCTTACTTTGTGTGTAGTTTTGTTTTTCCATCGTTGAAAACACTTGGAGAGGATTTGGTCACGGTTCTCGACTTTTTGCATGTGAAATATGTTATTGGATTGGGTGAGGGTGCCGGAGCTAATGTATTGGCACGTTTTGGGTTGGCTCATGCAGCCCGATGCTTGGGACTGATCCTAATCAATTGCACTGGAAGCGCAGCAAGCGTCGTTGATTCATTCAAGACTAAGGTAAAATTCTTCGGAACGACGAATTTCAAACGAAAAATAATAATTGGTTTTTTGTTTGAAATTCACAATTTTCCACCTGACTTTTTTTTTCCTTTTATTTCACAATTTCAAAAAAGTTCATCAACTGGAAATCAGAAGAGGTCGAGCGTTCAGCTGAAGATTTTCTTATGTATCATAAATTTGGTCATGTAAGTATCACATCTGATCGAATTTTGTTTTCATTTTGATTGGATTGGTGTTCAAAAATAGAATCAGCTCGATTAGGTCGAAATTGATTTTGTGTTTTTTTTTTCTCTTTGTTTGAATATTGGCACACAATTAAATTGAAACATCCGTTTGGACATGAATTGCACCGTATTATTTTCTTTTTCTAACAATCTCAATGTTTGAATTGAATTGGCAAATATAAACCCAATTATTAAGACACACCCATGTGTGTAAAGATAAGATGTGAATAAATTCCATTAGATTGAGTCTCAATAGTTGGGTTTCATATAACCAGAAAAATAAACAAATTTGATATTTTTATCTGCCTTATCTAAATGTGACCGAATTTTAATTTATTGTGTCGATTTTTATCATTACTTGTTTTTCATGCGACTTAACAAAATAACCCCAAAACAAAACCAATAAAAAAAAAATACCCCAAACAAATGTAAAAATAAAACAAACATCAATAATAACCACACAATATACAAAAATACAATACAACCAATACTAAAGATCATTGTCAACGAGGTAATCTATGAAATAATCATTTTAATCAATTAGCGTTATTTATCCGTTGTTCTGAAAATGAACACCTTTCATTTTGGTCATTTTATTTTCATTCAATGCTTATCCTGAGTTCGATTCAAATTGCACGCATAGCAAGTACCAACCGAAAGGGAAATGTCACACGTGAAAAGAAAAAAAAATGATGGAGCGAAAAAGCGCAAAACGCAATACTTGGCGCACGGTTTCATTTGTGGCATTTCAACTTTGTAATAAAATTAATAAGAAGCATAGCGACGTAGATACTTTCCACACGCAGTCTGTAATTACTACCATCAAAACATTAATTCATACTTTTCTGAACATGACTTTTCCACATTGTATATTGCCCTATGACATGCATCCCCCTTTCACTCCTTAGAAGAAGAAAGAAACAGTATTTATTCTAGAACATGTGTAGTCAGTCATAAGTGTGTCAAACATCAACGTAGTCATGTGTGTTTGTGTATGTTTTGTATGTGTGCGTTTTTTAATAGCCAACTTGTTTGTATGTGTACACAAAACACTTTTATTTTCCTCAATTCCTCTCACTCTCTGTCTTGCGTCACTCTTTTGACGAACTAAACGTTTCACTTACCACAGAATGAAAAAAAAAACAACTTTCTTACATCCATTTTCGAAGTATTTATATATATTAGCATACTTTGTAGCCACTTCAACAACTGCCGTTGTAAATGAAAATGTCATTATTATTGAAATGGTTTGCTTTTCTTTTTCTATCGCATCCGTAAACTTGTTGAACAAAATAAATGAAAAATTGACGTTCGTCGTGTGCTGCTGCATATACCCGTCACACACAAAAACACAATAATGAACCAAATGGAATATTGGCATGATGTTCTGTGGCTGACCATAGCAGTTGGTCGGTGAAAGCAATCCGGACAAGGAGAAAGTTATTCACGAGTTTCAAAGCCGCCTACATGGCCCTTTGAACAATAAGAACATGGGACTCTACGTGAAAGCATTCATGAGGTAAACATTATCAACATTTTTTTTCCGAGTTTTTCTTTTTGCGTCTTTTTCACGACCATTGATAACAACATTCTGCATAATTTCCGGTAAAGAAAGAGCCATGGTAAAAGAATTTTTTTTTTCATGGAAAAGTTGATATGAAGCAATAAAATGGGATGGGTGTAAATTGTATTGAGGTGCGCAATATATATATCGCAGACACAAAACCCATTTCAAATGAAAAACCATTTGATACGATATCGACAAATTGTGACCGGAGAAAATTGCTTTTCTCTTAAATTAGTTTCAATGGTCGTTTAAATTTTATTTTGCGATGCATTTCCAACCATTTTTTATTCTTTCACTCTTATTATATTTTCATGTACTCTGCGAATTACCCTGTTTCCATCGAAAAAAAAAATAGTCGTAAAGATTTATCATTGAAAGATTGCAAAATCGATATTTTGCTAATAACTGGCATGTTGAGCCCATACTCGACGGTTGTTGAGAAGCTTCATCGTGACGTTAACAAAGAGCGTGTCACAATGATGAAAGTTGAGCGAGCTGGTGATGTTCTTGTCGATGCTGTAAGTTGTGCATATAGCCCAAAGCATTTTATACGATTCATTAAACATTCATCTAAATATTTTTGTGTGTGTTTTTTTCTTTTTTGGCTGTCATTTCATTTGGATTATAAACAGCCGGCAAAGGTGGCACAATCAATTTTGTTATTCTGCAAAGGCCAAGGTCTTTTAACATCGGTTGCTATGCCGGGTGTTGATCGTGGACGTGCTTATTCGACCAGCTCAGGTGGTTCGAATGATGGTAACGCATTGGGACCGCGTCGTCTATCTCGCGGCATGTCAATGGAAGAGTACGACAAACCAAACATTCGTCGGCTCAGTATCACCGTCAACAACGATGGCATTCCAGCAACCGGACGAAAATAAATCCAACAACTTCAATAAAAGAAAACGAAAAACTGTGCTACAAGAAAATTAAAGAAAAAAAAAAACAACAACAACAACAGTTGAAAACCATTTGGAAATGATTTTCACAATGTGGAAAAGTAATTTAGGTGAATGATAGTCTCAAAATGATGCTGCAGACCAAATGGAAAGACAAGTGAACAATTGTTCAAGAAAAATTCAATTCTACTCAATGTTTCTCTTTGATTGAAACACTCATTTCATTTCATAGTAATGCTTACATTTCCGATTTTAATGAGATTTACAAATTAATGCCAAAAGTTTGTTAACTTTTCTTCTTTGTTTCGAACAAGTTCATGTTTAATTTTACTATAAATTTTATTGTTATTTTTTATGTTAATATAGATGATTATTGAACTTGCATTAGTTATTATATTGACGTACACTTTGATAATGCCCCAATAATTACCAATTCGAAGAATTTTTTTCCGAAAAATAATAATGTCTTTTTATCAAATTAAGTCGATAAAAGATATACAGTCTATTCAATGTTGACCATCTGAATAGCTTTATCAACGTAGATGATAGAATATACTATAACACTATTCCTACTAAAATGCTCTAAACAAAAAAAAAACATATGAACCCGTGAGCATAAAAACGACTTATTAAACAATCGCCGAAC